AGGCCCGAAACGTCAGCCTCTCTGCTCCTATGATGCTGCTTGGCCTGCTCTGCTCAATAAATCAGTTGGGTTAAAGTTTGGCAAATTCCTAGAGCCTGACAACACTCGATCCCAGAGTATTAAGGGAATTGGCCCTGGAAATTTTGTATGCATTGGTCATCTTGCAAAATTTTATGGACTGTGGATCGATTCTGACAGATTGGACGGTGACAAATTTAATCCCTACCGTCTTTTTTAAAAAGACGAAGGAGAGGAAAAAAATGGAATTGCAGCCCAGCTAGCTAACATTGGTGATGGGGAATATGCTTGAGTATGTTATAAAAGCCATGATAAAACAAACATGGAAAGCTCTAACAGGATTGGACAAAGTCAACACAGATTTATGGAAAAGAAATCATACTTAACTAATCTACTGGAGTTTTAGAGGATGTGACTGGTAAAATGGATAAGTGGCAAGAGGTAGGTGTGATACATTTAGACCTGAAGGCTTTTGATAAGGTCCGATACATGAAGCTAATAAACAAAATTAAAACGGATGGGATTTGGGGTAATATTTGGGCGTGGCTTGAGACTCTGTTTGCAGATCAGTAACGGAAGGTGGGAATAAATTGGTCTTTCCTGGTGGCAAAAGGTGACTGGTTAAATGCAGGCATCAGCATTTGAGACCCCAGCCACTCACAGTATTTATACATGACTTGTATGGGAAAGCCAGATGCAATATTTCCAAGTTTGCTGATGATAAAGAAAAATTAGGTGTGATTGTGTGGAGGATGCAAGGATGAGGGTTCAGGATGAGTCAGACTGTGTGTGTGTGTGTAAACTGTGTAGCAGATGCAGTGCAACATTGTGAAATGTGAAGATATGCACTGCAGTGTTGAAAACAGAAAAGCAGATTATTATTTAAAATGTGGTATATTGGGAAATGCGAATGTACAAAGTGATCTGGGTGTTTCCTGGGCACCAATGAAAGTAAATAAGCAGGAACAAGAAGAAATTAGAAAGGCAAAGGTATATTGGCCTTAATTGCGAAAGGACTTCAGTTCAAAATTAGGCATGTCTTAGTACAATTATAGAGAGCCCAGGAGTGACGACAACTGGAGTTTTGGTCTCCCTACATAAGAAAGGATATACTTGCCATTGACGGAGTGCAACAGGAGTTCACTCGACTGGTGCAGGGATGTTGTATGAAGAGAAGTTGTTTCGAGTGGGCCTGCATTCATGAGCGTTTCGAAGAACGAGATTGGATCGGATTGAAATATATAAAATTCTAACACAGTTATAATAGACCAGATACAGGGAGGATATTTGCCCTGATTGCCAATTCTAGAACCAGGGGTCACAGTCTCAGGATACAGGGTAGACTGTTTGTTGTAATGAGGATGATCAACCTGTGAAATTTACCACAGAAGACTGTGAACGCTGGGTTGCTGAGTGTGTTCAAGAAGAGCTTGATACATATTTAAATTTTAAAGACACCGTGTTTTGGAGAGAAAACGGGAATGCTGTGTTGATAGACGATCAGCGAGGATCAGCAATGATCATATTGAAAGCAGTACAGGCTTGAAGGGCCAAATGGCCTACTACTCCTAGGTTCTGTATTAAGGGTGACTACATTTAAAATTAGATAGAAAAGTTGGAATATTCCATGTTGAAAATGTTGTGTTAAGGGGATTGGATGAAGGTAGACGTGCATTACTTGAAATTAAACTTCAACTGGTTGACAGGGCACACTTACAAATTGGTAAAATGCAAGCACTTACTCAGACCATAAATAATATAATATCAGATGGATAGGGAAGATGATTGCTCTGGAATAGTTTGTTGTGATGGGCTGATGGGAGTTTTCTATAATAGTTTGAGCTCAATAAACTGATTATACATTACGATTTTTCCTAAAACTAGGATACAAAACACATTCAGTTTCTGGAGCACTTGTGAATGCAAGCTTCTACTGTAATTTCTGCCCAGGAATGTACCGCTTGGAGGGGAACTCCTGTTATCAGGAAGTCCCCTCAGATTCTATATTTTAACAAGTTCTGGTTTTCTTGTTGGAATTGCAATGTCTCACTGGCTGGCTTGTGGAATAAATGGGGACTGCTTATGCTTGGAATTGCATGACCAGGCACTGAGCAGCGAATGCCATTGGCGCGTGAAATGGACACGGTAGCTTATGGTTTGTAATGTCAGTTTATGCAGCTCAATGAACCAAGAAAGATGAGTGATGAGATTAAGCATTTTTGAACTGGATGTGTATGTGGGCATTGTTTCATGAGCTCTGCTTTTGTTAAGCAGTTTCCCTTGGGTTTTAAATTAATTTTAGTTTGGGAAGCCTTAAGATGTTTGCACTTTTTGGTATTTTTTGGTGACTAGCTGGTGTTTTTTTTTTACTGTGATATAAACAAGGGTGTCCTGCAAATAAGGTACTCTTCAATGCGATGGGCAAACATCAGAGGAATTAACTGCCTTCTACTACCCTCGTTCATACCAGTCGTCCAGGTATGTACAGACACCAGCTGAGGTTCAAGGCTGCCACTTTCCTATTGTAATGCACAATAGGAAGACAAATGGAAGGTTATAACATTCAATGTGCATTCAGCAGCCCCCAGATGTTGATGTCAGTAACATTGAGAAGTTGGGGGCAAGTCATTTCAGTTTTGATAAATAAACACCCAAGCAAGAAATTGCAAAAGAATAAAAACACCATCTACTGTGGCACATGTATAAAAATGTTTGTAATTTCTTTACAGACTGAGCACTCCCCACGGTCAGAAAGGAAGAGGAGGGACTCGTTTGGAATGTTTGACGGCTATGACAGTTGCAGTGAGGATAGCAGCAGCAGTTCAAGCTCTGATGAGAGCGAAGAAGAAGTTACCTCAATACCAGCCAGTCTCCCACTTATCAAAACCAATGGACAAGTCTACACTTATCCGGATGGCAAATCTGGAATGGGTCAGTAGGTGGCTTTGTTCTTGTTCATGACAGGCTAATTGAAAAATTAACTATTTCAACATGGAACAGCAATATTCTCCTCCTATTATCCTACCTACAGTCTTCTTGGTGGATAGAGTTTTCCAAAACCACCCAATTCGTGGTTGATCTCACTCCATTTCAATTGTGTAAAATTTGCCATACGTGTCCTATATCTTTTCAGAATTAGTGTACGAAGAAATATTTGTCAAATGTATTAAACATAATCCCTTTTCCAAATCTCAGAGCCCGTGAACCGGCTCAGTTGCCCATAGATGCACTGAGCGTGCCATTATAGTTTGACACAAACTAGCTTCAGAAAAAGATGGACAGGCATCGCAGGAATTACTGTCCCCATTGGACGACTTAGAATCCCATGAGTACAAGGATTTGAATGAAGAGACTTGAACAGTTTGATCTGACAAGTGGAAGTAGAGTTTCAAGTTCATTGTCCTTCCATAAATGTTTTCTGCACTCTCTCCAGCACACTGACATTGTTCCTATAGTGTGTTACTCAGAACAGTACACTGGCTGAGATCGAACTTGTGTCTTAAACAAGTTCAGCATAACCTCCTAGCTCTTGTACTCTCTGTCCCTATTAATAGAGCCCAGGATACTGTATGTTTTATTAATTACTCACTCTACCTATCTGGCCACCTTTTAATGATTTAGGTACTCTATGCTATCGCACACCCTCTCAGCACTTTTTTGTTTTCGTAAAAATGATTCTCCAGGGTCTTTATTGACCAAAGTATATCACCTCTGTTGCCTTTGACCCACGTCCACTGCCATCTAGAAGGACAATGACAATAAATACATGGGAACATTACAGCCTGCAAGTTCCTCTCCAAGCCACTCACCATCCTGACTTGGAAATGTATCACTTTCTTTCACTGTAGCTGGGTCAAAAGCCTGGAATTCCCTCCCTAAGGGGATTGTGGGTCTATTTACAGCACATGGACTGCAGCAGTACAGTAATGCAGCTCATCAGCACCTTCTCCTCGGGGCAACTAGAGATGGTCAATAGATGCTGGCCCAGCCAGCAATGCCCACATCCCGCAAATTTATTTTTTTTAAACAAACCTCGCCCTTTTCTCCATTGATCTTTTTATCTGCTAACCATCTGTTTGCTCCACCAACTTGTCAGCGTCCACTTTGGAGTTTTATATTGTCATCCTCGCAGTTTACAATGTTTCCAAGTTTTGTGTAATTGTAAGTTTGGAAATTGTTCTCTGCACACCAAGACCGAAATCATACTCTAGCTTCTCTTGAGGTTTCGAAAACCAACTGATGGGAACTTTCCAAATGTTTCAGCCAAAAAGCCACCCATTGACGATTACTCTCTGTTCTGTCCTTCAGCTATGTTGTACGGTCCAGTTTATTCCATGAGCTTTATCTTATAGTGCTACACAACAAATTTGCAACATTGAATGCCTATTGGGTGTCCGTATACCCTTTTTTTTTTGTTACCTCTTCAAAAACTCCAAGCTAGTGAACTCAGGGTTATATTTTTTTAAACAACCTGTGCAATCTTTTCTAAATTAACACACATTTTTCCATGGAAGTATTTTATGCCAAATAACTTTGTTTCAAAATGTTTTGCTATAATTGGATTTAAAATGTCTGGTCTGTAATTGCTGGGCTTATCCTTGCAACAATTTTTTTTTAACATGGGTGTCACATTTGTAATTCTCCAGACCTCCAGTACAACCAGAGTGTACAGAAATTTGAAGGGTTATTGACCGTGCCTATGTAGTTTCCACTCATTCTTCAGTATCCTTGGATGCATCTCATCCAATCCTGATCTCTTCTATCAACTAACTATTGGCAATCTATTCAATACTTCCTCATCAATTTTAAACTCTTCTAATTGACTGAGTTTCCTCCTCTATCATCATGGCCTGGGCAGCACATTGCTTTTTCTTTTATTAAAGTCTTATTTATTTAACACTTCTGCCATCTCCTGCTTCCATGTTAATTCACCTTTTTTGGTCCTGAATTGATCCTAATCCTCCCTTTTTTTATTTTCACACCCCTGCCCCTGGAGAGGACCTTCCTTCTGAGCTCTTCCTGAAATTCAAAGCACGTAGTTCTCTGCATGGATACATCGAAGGGTTATAAGGTTGCTGCAACAGAGAGTTGATGTTTCAAGAACATCGATTGGTTTTGAAGGAGTTGTGAGATGCATGTTGGCAGCTAATTTCAAATCACAGACTTTATTAGAATCTGTTACCAATGAGGAAAAAAAATGGGTTTGTATTTAATTCCACATCACAATTGTTGTTTACTTTGTTCAGAACTCATAAATCTATCAAGGCCAGACTCTTAAACTGAGGGGCGTTTGAATTTCCTCAGTTCAAATGTCCAGGTAAACTACGTTCAGTTTATAATTGTTTATGAAAACATGATTTGTAATGTATTCCTGATTAAGTGATGAAGCAGTGACAGATTGACTGTAGTCTGATCGTTCTCTGGTTCTGTGCTGTCTCCATTAGCCACCTGTGAGATGTGTGGGATGGTTGGTGTGAGAGATGCTTTCTATTCCAAGACAAAACGATTCTGCAGTGTTTCATGCTCCAGAAGCTACTCATCCAACTCGAAAAAAGCCAGCATTTTAGCCAGACTTCAGGTACTGTTTAAGTCTCCTGTATCAAATACAGCAAAAGTTTTCTTGATGTTTTTTGTATGTCACCTGCAAATTCAAGTCTCTTTCCCTTGCAGCTTTCCCTTGATTTCAGTTAAATGGAAGCTGGTAGGAGAACAACTCCCTATTTTTTTGGGAGCCAGATTTTTGTCTATGCAGCAATATTGAGTCAACAAAGCCTGTTTTTCTAGTTTGGCTCTCGGTTGACTCCCAAGCTGCTCTGAACTTTTCTGACATTCACTTTGTCCCTTTAGATGGTGTTAAGATTGAACAGTTGGTTTCATCTCCTAATGGTATTCATAAACTGTAGCTAGAATTCCAGTTCTTGTCACTGAAGATGTCCTACTAATTATAATTTAAAATGGCATGCAGCTACTTAACAATCTTCTCTTCTTAAAAAGTGCTGTTTTGTTTGTGCTTTAATTACAGTGAGAATTTCCAAACAGTCATAGTTTGCACTTAGTGCGTTTTGCAGATTTAGTTTATTGACTCCTGTGTAGTGTTTAGAACCATGGCTTTCGCGTGTGGTACAGCTACTCGACTCAAGTGCATTTTTGGCATTTTTGTTATTAGGTGGTAAAATGATATCAATTGTAACAGAATTTTGCATTCTGTCCAAGAGGGACTAGGAGATGTAACAAGACTTCCTTGCTTCCATGTCCTATACTCCGACTAATGAAGACAAGCATGCCTTCACTACCCTGACAATGCTGACACTTTCAGGGATGAATGGACTTGTACACCAAAGTCCCTTAGTTCCTTGGTGCTCCATAGGGACCCACCATTCATTGTGTATGTCCTTCTATTAAATCTTCCAAAATGCATTGTCTCCCGTTTATTGGGATTAAATTCCATCTGCCATTGCTTTGCCTAATTTACCAGCTGATAAATATCTGGTTGTAGCCTGACATCATCTTCCCAAGTATTGTCATCTGCAAGTTTACTAATTATACCTTCTACATTCACATCACATTGTTAATGTAACTGACAAACAGGAAAGGTCCAAGCACCAATTCCTGTGGTACACCGCTGGTCACCGTCTTCCAGTCACAAAAATAACCCTTCACCATCAATCTGCCTCCTTTTTGTAAGCCAATTTTGGATCCAGTTTGCTAGTTTGCCTTCAATCTCATGGGCTCTTGTCTTCTAGACCAGCCTTTCATGTGGGACCTTGTCAAAACGCCTTCGTGAAGTCCATCTTAGCCACAGCGAGTGCACTACCCTTATCAATATGTTCAGTCATCTTTTTCAAAAAACTCAACTAACTAGTCAGACAGAATCTCCTGACAAATCCATACTGACTATCCCTGATCAATCCCTGCCTTTCCAAGTATTGATTGGTCCTGTCCTTTAGAATTTTTCCAATAATTTCCCTCCAGCTGACATCAGACTAACAGGTTGTAATTACCTGGTCTATTCCTGCTGCCCTTCTTGAAGAAAGCAACCACATTACCCATCCTCTGTCATCTGGCACTTCACCTGTGGTCAACGAAGTATTGAGAATCTCCTCCTTTGGGGTACGTCACATCAGGGCCTGGGGATTTATGCAGCTGTATGCTCACTATAACATCTAATACCCCCTTATTAATCTTAACATGTTCTAGAACCTTGCTGTCCCAACTGAAATTCCTGGCTACCATGTCTTTCTCCTCTCTGATCACAGATAAGAAATATTCATTTAAGACCTCACTTGTTTCCACTGGCTCCACACACAGATTGCCCTTTAGTCTCTAATAGGTCCCGCTCTTTCCCTGGTAATCTTGTTGTTCTTAATACGCTTAGAAAGGATAGCATCTTCTACATCTGCAGCCTTTAAAATTTAGAAGGACGAGGGCAGCAGATACTTGGGACTGCCACAACCTGCATTTCTTCCCCAAGCCACAGACCATGTTGAGTTGGAAATATATTGCTATTCCTTCAGTGGCACTGGATCAAAATCTGGGAACTCCCTGCCTAACAGCTTTGTTGGTGTCTCCACACTGCATCAACTGCAGCAGTTCAAGAAGGCAATTCACAATCCCCTTTGTTAGAACAAAGAAAATTACAGCACAGGAATAGGCCCTTCAGCCCTCCAAGCCTGCGCCGATCCAGGTCCTCTATCTAAACCTGTCGCCTATTTTCCAAGGATCTGTATCCCTCTGCTCCCTGCCCATTCACGTATCTGTCTAGATACATCTTAAATGACGCTATCGTGCTCGCCTCTACCACCTCCGCTGGCAACGAGTTCCAGGCACCCACCACCCTCTGCGTAAAGAACTTTCCACGCATATCTCCCTTAAACTCTTCCCCTCTCACCTTGAAATTGTGACCCCTAGTAATTGAGTCCCCCACTCTGGGGAAAAAGCTTCTTGCTATCCACCCTGTCTATACCTCTCATGATTTTGTAGACCTCAATCAGGTCCCCCCTCAACCTCCGTCTTTCTAATGTAAATAATCCTAATCTACTCAACCTTTCTTCATAGCTAGTGCCCTCCATACCAGGCAACATCCTGGTGAACCTCCTCTGCAAAGCATCCACATCCTTTTGGTAACGTGGTGACCAGAACTGTATGCAGTATTCCAAATGTGGTCGAACCAAAGTCCTATACAACTGTAACATGACCTGCTAACTCTTGTACTCAATACCCCGTCTGATGAATGAAAGCATGCCGTATGCCGCGTGCCGCCTTGACCACTCTATCGACCAGTTGATTGATGGGTAACAAATGTTGGCCTAGCCAAAGGCATCCACATCCCGTGAATAACTTTAAAAATGTCCGTGACAAAATCTAACAGTAAGTAGTTTCCATCAAGTACGTTTAATTTGATCTATGATGGAAAAGACAATACATTTGACACTTACGCCTAATTCTACTTTCAACAGGGAAAACCTCCAACAAAGAAAGCAAAAGTTCTACAGAAACAGCCTTTAGTGGCTAAATTGGCAGCCTACGCACAGTACCAGGCAAGCCTGCAACAGAGCCAAACCAAGAGTAAAGCAGGTAATGGATCATTTCTGTTCTGTTGTAGAACACTGAAAAATGCTGGTCAGCAAAGAAAAAATTGAACACTTGGAAAACTTGTCTGAAGTTCTGGACATTTCTCCTTTTATTGTTTATATATTTTAAGTTTTAACAGTTTAGCTAAAACATTGAGATTTTGGGGGTGTGATATCATTTATTTGAGAAGAAATCCTATTTGGCTTTGCTCTAATGTATGACCAGCTCTCAAAACTTGCAGCACTTTGCTGTACTGTTACCAAGGCTGTCAGGAAGCTGATGAGATATACCATGTCCTTCATTGAAGATTTTGAAAATTGAGTTTTTTTTTAATTATGTGCCCTTTTTTGAACGGCAGCATCTCTTCGTGTGGAGTTACATAGAATATGCAGCACAGAAACATTGTTTGTTTGTTTGGTCCAACTAGTTCATTCCATGCTCCGAGCTAACTGACTGTAGCCTAGTCATCCTGACCACTGCCACCACCACCACCACCAATGCTTAGCAAGCTTCCACTGAAATGTATACCATTCACTCCAACTATTTCCTGTTGGAGAGTTGCTACTTCCTTTGCTACCATCTTGGTAGTGATATTTCTTCTGAATTCCCTATTTGACTTCTTGATGATTCTCTGGCATGGATTTACTTTATTTTTGTATTTCCCTGCAAGTGAAAACATTATCTACTTGATCAAACCATTCATAATTTTAAATCTTCCATGTTTATGGCATCTGCAGTTCTTTCTGTTTTTTTTTCAAGGAAATGTAGTGCCAGTTGTTAATTTTCCCCTGATAGTATTACTGCAAAGTACTGATATCATCTTTGTAAGTGGGTCTTGTGTGGTCTTCAGTGTATATACATCCTTTTCACAATAACATGACTGCTACTGCAAGCAGTACAGTAACCAAGGTGCGAAAGAGAATTTTGTTACTCTTTTTATTTTTCAGTTCTGTATTGCTATGAAAGTGACATCAGTGCTTGTTTTGCTTTTAATCTAAACTTGTGTGGCTACTTTGAGATTTGTGTGTTTGTACTTGTGCATCACTTTGCTCTTGTCTCCCAGTTAGATTCTTATTTTCTAAGTTATATGAGACCACCTTACTTTCCTTTGCAAAATGCAATACCTCAATTATGTGTTAAAATTAATTTGCCAATTATATTGCAATTTCTGCAAGTTTTTATTAAAATTTTGTATCAGTTGCAGCTCCCCTCAGTATTGAAGAGAATCCCTGTGTCATCCCAGATCTCCTCTTTGAGGGGTCCAACTGTCCATTCTGTGCCACTGTGTGCAAGCATGGGACAGTTTTAGATTCTGTTGTTTCCTGTGTGTCAGCCAGCTTATCTAGTGGCTGGCTGAACCAGACCACCAAATACCCTAAGTCTGTCCCTTCCCCTGTGCTGAGAAACCAGTCTGGAGCAAGGTGCTAGTAGAAGATCCACAGTTGGCCTTGGCATATTTGCGTTGGCAGAATAAAATCTAACCAGTGTACCCCTGCTGCTGTTAGCCAGATGGTAATCTCATGCTGGAAGTGCACACGTAAGGAGGAAGAGTGGGTTAGTTCAGCTTCACCCACCCAAGCTCAAGCACTTGCTTGTGGCCACAAATGACTGTTACAGTTAGGTAACTGATGTAATGTAACCAAAGAGGTATGAGAAGGGTAAATATGTGAGGAAGGAAAAATGTACAGTTATACTTCTAGAAATTACTTGCTTATGATATGTCATTGCTATCTTGGTCAGTTGTTAACTGTAAGGATGTTGATGCAGTCTGTTTTTCTCACTGATATGTAATTTTACAGCAGTTACTGTGGAAGGCTTTGACTGGGGTCAGTATGTTTGGAGCAATAAATTTACTGGGGCACCTGTCAGCTGCTTCAAACATGTGAGTAGAATTCTGTTTTACTGACTTAAACATTGTGCCACTTGCTGCCTAAATGTAGAAATTTCCTAAAGAAGTCCAGTATTGTTTAAATGTGAACTGTTGCGAAAGTTAATGATTTGTTGTTATTTGGAGACTTGAATGCTAAAGTGGACAGGACAAATGGTTAGAATCGTACCTTGCACATAGGAAGATGGTCGTGGCTGTTGGAGGTCAGTCATTTCAGCTCCAGGACACCTCTGCTGGAGTTCCTCAGGGTAGTATCCTAGGCCCAACCATCTTCAGCTGCTCCATCATAAAGTCAGAAGCAGGAATGTTTGATGATTGCACAATATTCAGCACTATTCATTCTTCCTTTGACAAGGGAGCAGTCAGTGTCCAGCATGACCTGGACAATATCCAGCCTTGGGCAGATGTGGCAAATTTTTTGTACTAGACAATGACCATGACCAACACAAGCGAGTCTAACCATGTCCTCTTGCTGAATGCCCCACCATTGACAAACTGGGTGTTGACATTGACCAGGAACTAAACTTGACCAGCCATGTAAATGCTTTGGCTACAACAGCACATGAGAAGTTAGAAATTCTATGGTAAGTGACTTTCTACCTGCCCGTTGTATTTCACCTGAATATAAAGCACAAGGCTGGAGCACGATGTAATGCACTCCACTTGTCCTGGATGACTGCAACTCCAACATTACTGTGCCTTTGACATCATCCAGGACAAGGCAGCCAGCTTGAATCCCATCTACCACCTTCACATTAATTCCCTTCACCATTGACTGACAGTGTCACAGTGTACACTATCTACACGTGCATACAGACGCTTAATCAGGCTTCTTTGATAGGGCTTCCCAAACCTAAACCTCTGATACATAGCAAAAGAGAAGCAGATGCATGGGAGCACCACTGCCTACAGGTTGCCTTTCAAGCCCCACACCATACTGACTTGGAACCATGTCACTGTTTCTTCACTGTTGTTGGGTCAAATTCCTTCCCTGATAGCACTGGTGTACCGACATCCCAGGGATCGCAGAGTGGGTGTGAAATAGTGCTGACCGAGCTGTGACACACTCATCCTGTGACTGAGCAAAAAAATTCCTACTGTTACTTTGAGATTGGTTAAGAGTATCATTACAACTCACGTAAAAGGGTGTTTGAGGTTGTAGATGTGCTCGCCGAACTGGTGGGTTTGGATGCAACTGTTCCGTCACCCTGCTAGGTAATATTGTCCGTGCGCCTCCAGTGAAGCGTTGGCGTTCTGTCCCACTTGGTATTTTTATGCCTCATTTTGCTGGGATGGTTGGCATTACTTCTGGTTCTGTTTCTCAGTGGTTTTATATCAGGTCCAGTTCAATGTGTTTGTTGATGGAGTTCTGGTTGGAATACTAGGCCTCCAGGAATTCCCTGGTGTGTCTCTGTTTGGCTTGTGCTATTACGGATGTGTTATCCCAGTCAAATTCGTGTCCTTCTTTGTCCGTGTGTAGTGAGACAAGTGAGAATTGGTCATGTCTCTTGGTGGCTAGTTGGTGTTCATGTATCTGTATTGTCAGTGTTCTCCCGGTTTGGAATCTTCTCAAACTGTAAAAGGGTGTTTCTTTGAAACCTGGAATCATCTGAAAAGTGTGACATTTTCAAGAGTAAAATAAATTGAAGTTCTTTTCTGAAATAAGAACGAACATTGGGTTTCAACACAGATGTAAAAAGTGACTGTGGTGTTGAGCAACTAACTTGATACCGGGCATTGTAATGAACTGTTTGAACAAGCAGTGATCTGGAGCTGAGGGTATGTACTGATGCAGCTCCTCTTGGTGATAAGAGGTTGAATGATAACTGTCACGAGTCCACAGACCAATGATTGGAGACCTTCTTTCTTGCCAACAACTATGTGTTTAGGTCTCTGGTAGCTGAGCAGCATGAAGCTGGAAACAGGTTGCAGAGACACGGAGCAAAAGAGTTGTGAAGATCAATATTCCCTCTCAGCTGCTGTGATGTTCCATGCATGGGGTCAGCGTGCTTGTTGTGGCTTTGACTTCGATTCTGGAAATCACTGCCATAGAAAATCTTCTGAAGCCTGTGTAGCAATTAAAATTAGAGAGAGCACTGCTGACCATCTTCACCCAGCCCAGAAGCTGTCTGTTCTCTGCAGTCAGTTTAAAACCTGAGGAGAGCCAGTGCCCTTTACTGGAGCAGTTACCTGAGCTGTGACTTTTAAGTTGATAAATCAGAGACAGTTTTCAAATGAATCAGTCACTCTGTTTCCTTAGAAATCAGTGGAAACATCCAGAGAAAGATATGAGCAACAAGGGGTCTGGCTAGTGAAGGATCGTTTCAACATCGGAACCAGGAAGCAAAGATGTCTGAACTGACTTTGCTGAATTTCAACCTCTGCCAAAAATCTACTTTCCCAATGTTTTTTTTAATTGTGTATGTATGGAGTTTATTAGGAGATTAGAATGTTAGTAATATTACACACCAATGGTTTAAATCTGTTTACCAGTAACTATTGTCTATTTGCTTCCAATAATCTTGTTTTGCATAGAAATCTTGTCCATACTTTCTATCTCCCTTGATCTGAAAGTGAAGTAAATTGGGCTACTGTGTTTGCTTTCAAAGGAATCTTTTAACATTTGATGCAGTTCTGGGAATAGTGGGGCTCAACTTATAGCACTGCCCCACTGAGCAGTAACACAACAGGTTTTGTAGCGAGAGATATGGGCCACAGATGGATAAATTGATTTCAGCTGCAGATGAGCTGTGATCTAAAGGAATGGGAGAATTCGGTTGAGGGTCTGAACATATTACTGAAGTTCTGATTTGCATGTAACCCCAGCTGTTCTTAACTGGAGTATTGCTTGGAGTAGTTACACCTGCACCATGTCCTTTTTTCTTGGTCAAACACCTAAGCACAAACTTTGCTTTGATTGACAAAAACCACAGATATATGGGAACACCAAATTCCTCTCCAAGTCACTCACACATCCTGACTTGGAAATATATTGCTATTCTTTCCGGTGCTGCTGGGTCAAAATCCTGGCGCCCCCTTTGTACAAGCACTGTGTATATTTCCACTGCAGATGCTCCATTGGTTTAAGAATGCAGCTCACGACCACCTTCCCCAGAGCCATTAATCATAGGTAATGCATGCTGGGTTTGGCACCGATGCCTACATCCCATGAAGGAAGAAAAAATGCTGCTTGTTTCAGTTATTTGATGATGTTTCATTGGGGATTGAGATCATGAGCCATGGATGTCCTCTGTTTCCCTCACTTCCTGGCCTCCCTCTCCTCCAAAAGTCATTCTTGGCTAAAATCTAAAACAGATGACTATGTTGTAATTCCCTAGGGAATAGTGCTGAGATTTTAGGATTGTCAGTTACTTTAATTATGGTGTGTTGTTAGCACCATGACACAATTGTAACTCCATTGGATATAATTGTTTCCTTTTGGAGTTTTAATTGTAAAATATAGTCACTGGAATTTTGAAGGGATATAATCGGTGTGGCTTAATAAGTGGGAGGTAGTGAGTTCATTTGTAATAAGACCAGATTGAGTATTTTAAAAGATCTTAAAAATATCCTGTTGATAAAGTTGCAGTATAATCAAGCGGACTGTGATGTCATCTGAACCTTTCAATTACGGTTCCCGCCTTGTAATGTTTTTACTTTTCAATATTTTTTTTAAACAACTTGGTCATCCGTGAGAGCCTCCCCTAACTGTTTACTTGTTTCCAGTCTATAACTCTCTTCTGATGTCTCTTCTGTTAACCAATTGTTCTTTGACCATCACTTTTTTCTTTCTTTTTATCCATCTCTTTAGAAACTCACTTCA